GCGCGGGGCACGGCGCCACCACCGCCGGGCCCGAGCCACCAGCGCGCCCCTCGGCACGCCCACAGATCGTCGTCGGGAATCCAGGGCAGAGAGAAGGGGGGCCCAGACGTGATCGCGTCGTAAAAGAACATCGCGACGGAAGGTGTTCCGCCGTTTTCGGCCTCTGGAGGCCCTCGCCGGGCCTCGGGACCGTGAAAAAACAAGTCAGGATAAACAGCCGGTCTCCAAGGGGGGCCTTTCCAGGGCCCGACAAGTGCACCTTTTAAAACGACGCGAAGATCGGGACAAAATCGGATCGGGGTAACTCGAAATCTCTGAGAATCGGCAAGTTTGGAGGATGTATTCGGCGCCGCGGCCGCTCCAGAGCGTCACGGAACGCTCTGAGAGCGCTCCAGAACGCTCTGGAGCGATTCATCCCGATCCTAGCCTTGTTTTACCTTTCTCCTCCCCCCGCCTCCAGCGACGCCCAGGGGCCACCGGCCCCGGGGCGGTCCGTCGGGGGAGGTGTCGGGGGGGCGGAGCTCCGACGGGAAGAATCGCCAGGGGGGGAAGCGGGTGCTGAGGCAGGGCTGGGCCTAAGCGCTGTTTTTCACCACCTACCAAACCACTCCTACCCAACCCGAAGGCTTCAATTTGCCCTCCATTTCCAGTGGGGGGGGGGTCGGGGAACGTTGAAAAAACACATGGAACCCGTACCCCCCCCAACCCGAAATTCGGGTCAAATTCGGGTCTTCGGGTTGGGTTGGGGTGGTCTGGTAGGTAGTCAGTTTTGCTGGACGTCGGCTGTGCTTTGTTCTTCTTCTTGGCAGGAGGGCACAGGGAAACAGGTAGAGCAGAACGAGCAACAAAGCGAAAGCAAAGCGAATCATTCACTGCGTGGAGCTCCCCATGTGTGCATCTATTCGCGTGGACCTGTCCGCCGCGAATGTCTAGGCGCAAGAGCTTTCGAATATAAACGGGCTTCAGTTGTGGCGGTCTGGCCATGAATCTAACTGCGAATGAGCCTCAGTAGTACGAGCGCGTCTCTGCGCATGAGCCTGGGGCCTCCTGGGGCCTCCTGAAACCTACTGGGGCTTCCTGGGGCCTCCAGGAGCCTCTTGGGGCCTCCTGGGGCCTCCTGAAACCTACTGGGGCTTCCTGGGGCCTCCAGGAGCCTCTTGGGGCCTCCTGGGACCTCCCAGGGAGGCTTCGTGCCCCAGGAGAGGCCCAATATATAGCAACCGACGTACATAAAACATTGCGAATCGGAGCCACAGGAGAAAGGCAATCTATAGGAACACACGTAAAGCACCAATGAATCGTGCCCCAGGAGAGGCCCAACATATAGGAACATAAGTAAAATGTTTGGGATTGTGTTCACAGGAGAAGGACAATCTATAGAAACATACGTATAACGCCAAAGATGCGTGCTCCAGGTGAGGCCCAATGTATAGGAGCATACGTAAAACACATGGGATTGGAACCACTCCTGTTGCCTTCTGAGGCCTCCTGCTCCTGGGGCCTCTCGGGGCCTCCTGTTGCCTTCCGAAGTCTCCTGGCGCTTCCTGTGGCCTCCTGGGGCCTCCTGTGGCTTCCTGAGGCCTCCTGGAGCTTCCTGGGGTTTCCTGGAGCCTCTTGGGACATCTTGTGGCCTCTCGAGTCTTTCTGTGGCCTCCTGGTGCCTCCTGGGACCTCATGTGGTCCCCAGGGGCCTCCTGGAGCCTGTTGGAGCATCCTGTCGCATCCTGAGGAGAACCTGTGCCCACGAGTCTGGCCACCAAAACAAGCAAACCGAACGAGACGTCCTCAACATCTGGCCCACCTGGGGGGTGAAAATGAGCGCCTCGCTCGAGGCATCCTCCAAATCTGCTCCGAAAGCGAAGGATGTTGGGACAGACAACAAGCAAACCGCTTGAGACATCCCCACAAAACGGCCGCGAACGGGACCGTGTCATACCCCTCGGCGGCCCCCCTTAGGGGCGTGAAAATGAGCGCCTCGCTCGAGACATCCTCCAAAGCTGCTCCGGAAGCGAAGGATGTTGGGACAGAAAACAAACAAAACTGCCGCGAACGGCACCGTGTCATACCCCTCGGCGGCTCCCCTTAGGGGCGTGAAAATGAGCGCCTCGCTCGAGACATCCTCCAAATCTGTTCCGGAAGCGAAGGATGTTGGGACAGAAAACAAGCAAACCGCTTGAGACATCCCCACGAAACGGCCGCGAACGGGACCGTGTCATACCCCTCGGCGGCTCCCCGTAGGGGCGTGAAAATGAGCGCCTCGCTCTAGACATCCTCCAAATCTGCTCCGAAAGCGAAGGATGTTGGGACAGAAAACAAGCAAACCGCTTGAGACATCCCCATAAAACGGCAGCGAACGGGACCGTGTCATACCCCTCGGCGGCTCCCCTTAGGGGTGCTGAAACCAGCGCCCAGCCTGAGACATCCTCACGATCTGCTGTGTGTAGAGTAAGTCAGACAATGAGAAGGCCTGGGTATGAGTAAGCCTGGGCATGAGTAAGTCTGAGTATGAGTAGGTCTGAGTATGAGTAGGTCTGAGTATGAGTAGGTCTGAGTATGAGTAGGTCTGAGTATGAGTAAGTCTGAGTATGAGTAAGTCTGTGTATGAGTAAGTCTGTGTATGAATAAGTCTGGGTATGAGGAGGAGGAGGAGGAGAAGAAGAAGAGGAAGAGGAAGAAGGAATAGGAGGCGTCCAAGTAATAACAAGAACCCCATCTTAGGATATGGGGAAAAACAACGCTTAGGTCCAGCCCTGTCCTGTTGGAAGCGGGTCCTGAGGTTTTTTTGTGCGGCAAGTAGGTGTTTGGCCCTTTTCGGGGTCCTGTGGCCCTCGCCGAGGTGCCCCGGGACCGTCGAGCAACGGCTCAGGATGAGAACCAGTCCCGGGGATGTGGTCGGGACCTCTGGGGACCGCGCGTTGACAAAATAAAGACGTCGCATGGCTGAGAGCTCGTCCTGGGGGAAACGGGGTCGTGAGGTTTGTCGCCGTTTTCGGGCTCTCGGGGCCCTCCATGGGCCCCGTGACTGTCGGAGAGCGACTCCCGCTCCGGGTGCAGAGCTCGTCCTGCGAGGGAGTCCGGGACCCGTTTTCTTCAGGACCGGTTCCCCCTGTGTTGTGGTCCTCCGGAGCAGGAGGCGCACCACCACCACCACCACATTTGGGGATTCAGGATGAGCTGGTTTGCACGATGTCTCGCGAGAGCGCCCGAATCGATATACACCACCACTTCTCCCGACCGCCCTCTGGCTCCATTATTCACGTGGTGGTGGTGGTGGTGGTGGTGGTGGTGGTGGTGGTGGTGGTGGTGGTGGTGGTGGTGGCGGTGGTGGTGGTGGTGGTGATGGTGGTGGTGGTGCGTTTCCACCTCCATACGGTCCTGGGAAACAGGTCCTATGGAGGTCGTTGATCGCTCCCACAGCAAGATGTGGTTTCACGGCATGGAGCTGAGGTATGCATCGAGGCTTCTCCATCGAAGACATACGATGACGATCTTGAGCCTTTGACTACATCAGGTTCATGCTTGACCAGCACGGGGGAATCGTTGGCAAGCGGCTTGAGTCCCCACTTGGAGTGGCGCAACAACAAGAAGCAAGATGTGCACGAATATTCCTGGAGCGACTGGAGCTACCCCAATACGATCCACACCGAGATGAGCGACGACAAGAGAAAGAAGGAGAAGGATGACGAGCTACTCTGCAAGCTGAGGGAGATTAGGAAGCGCGTAGAGGAGGCCAACAACGCAGCAGCTCAGAACGCCGAGAAAGCGACAATTGCGAAGGCTGTGGGCATCAGGCCACCGCTTCCACCGCCGCCTCCACCACCTGCTCGGGTCCCCGAGCGGAGAGCGCCTAATTCTTCAAATCGTGCGGATAGCGTCCAAACGACGCATTCGCTGAATGCGTCTTCAACAGACCCGACGAGTCAGCATGCCGTCAAAGAGCCGCGACGTGCCTGGACGTATCCTACAAGGAAGGACGCCATCGTGTTCCCGAAGGCAGGTCCAAAAGATACATCCGTTCCACAGTCGTACACCAGGCCAGAGTCAGCAGGAGTTGAACCATGGCCAGTTCATTACAACGTTGCAGTGCAGACTCTGAACGAAGCTACCTCGAAAGAATATGCCAGCGCACCGGGAGCAGAAGGAGGGCAAGGGCAAGGAGAGGGAAGACCATCTGGAGGCACGTCAGAAGGAGAGTTGAGCAGAGCAGAGCCCTTGAAGTCTTTCTCGAAGGCAGCCTCACTAGTTTACAATGGCAGTGCGTGGATGATTTCAAAGGCAGGCAAGGGCGAGTCCCTTCAGCAGGTTGCTTCAGGGAGCTTGGCTCAGTTTCCAAATGAGAGCCAGCCTGGGGGCATCTTCTTCCAGACTCGCAGTCAGGAGGCACATTCACAAGAAGGTATCAAGGAGCATGCACAGGTTCTGAAAGAGAAGAGGCATAATAAGGATAAGGCTTCACATGACAAGAAGGGCAAGAAGGAGAAGCTGGATAAGAAGGAGAAGAAAGAGAAGACCACGAAGCGGAAGAAGCGAACGGCAGACGAGCACGAAGGAAGGGAGGAAAAGGAAAAGGAAAAGAGACACCGGTCTCGGAGTGCAGCGACGAGTGGACGCCGTGGAGTTTCACCATTGACGCCTCACCTGAATCCAACGAGTGGTCAAGCAACAGCCAAGGCCTCAACGCAGCAGGCGACTCCACAGGTCCAGTCACATGCCGATTCGCCTGCAGCCGACGTATTGGATGGAGCTCTTCCGTCGTCTGCGGGTCCTTCAGGAGTTTCCGTTCCGCCAGCTGGACTGGTGCCCGCGTCAAGTTGTGATGCCGAGCAGAGCAGCAGCCATGAAGTTCGACAGCCTGCGGTGGCAGACATGGCCAAGCAGCGTGACAGGAGCGGCAGCAAGGCATCCCAATCTAGGTGTGCAAGCCGTTCAGCCAGAAGCACTCGGGCAGCGCAGAGCCAGGGCAGAGGAAAGGATACACGGTCTGGTGAGGCGAACGATCTCGTATCGTCAGATGGTGAGCTCCATGGGCATGGACCAGGCAGTGACGGCGCTGATGAGGCGGCATCCGCATGATGTAGACAAGATTCAATGTTTAGACCAGTCATGGTTGTCCACACATCGCGGATACTGTGTAGGCTCTGTCTATTCTGCCAGTAGGGCAGGCCTGGGTCAAGTTACAGGAGCAACGCAATCATGTACACAGTCGCCGTCGTGAAGCTAGGAACTATTCCAGCAGTTGTCATAGTTTCTGGCAGGCTTGCGGGAGGCGGTGTAGGTCCTGTTTTGATATTGCATTGACCAGGGAACGTGCCGTTCGCGCAACGTCTTCATTCATTGTAATACATAACGCCATTCATCCGAGATTTCCTCTGGACTGTTTTCGCTGCTCCCCCTTTTTCCTAGGCTAGGTCTCTGGCAGAAGATAGCTGTCTGAGAATTATTGTGGCTCTCGGGTTCATTGAAGGCTTATCAGCTGGTGGGTGCTAGCTGAAGACCTCGGTGACCTCACTGCCCGCGGCCCCTCTTTCTATCTTTGCGCGGCCTGCCGGATTGTTGGGTCGCTGTCGACCGTGCGGGGATGGGTTCGGCAGCAGCGCAATGAAAAGTGCCATGGGCAAATGCATGCCAAGTCTGGAGGCGTCGCGACACCCCACCAGCCGACACAGGATTCATTGCCACGCGAGTTTTCCCGAAAAGGGACGTGAGGGAGCATGCGTGAAACAAAGAGGAGGGCACCAGTCAAACCAAGGGAGGGAACAGCCCAGGCAGCGCTCAGAAGTTTCCGTATTGGAGTCCCCTCGGAGCCATTTTGATGCATCCTGGAGCCATGTTGGGGCTCACAGGGCTCGACCTAAACGGTGTCTGTGTGATTTCGTGGACGGTTTTCGTCTGAATGTTGTTCCGTAGCAGAGGCTACAGAACGAAGGACAACGAACACGAAACGAAAACGAAAAGCACTGTCTAGCTCGAAGCCCTGGGGGCTCTCATGCGGCCCGTTGTTTTTGGGGGGGGATCCGCGGAGGCCCTTCGCCGGCTCTCCCTCCCGGGTCGTGCTGGGAGCACGTTGGCCAAGAACTCGGGCAGTTGGTTTTAGAACTGTTGGTTCTGGCATTGGCCGTTTTGAGCGCCAAAAGCGCAGTTGCAGGTTTTCTGCCTTCACCTCGCTTCGTCCTGGGGCGCCGCCCGGCGCAGTCGGCGGCGCCGAGGCGCGGGCGCAGGGGGGCCCGGACCAACAGAAGCCCGACCAACAGTAAAGCTTCCTGAGTTGGGCCCTGTTGGGAGGGGAGGGTGGCGCCAGGAAGGAGGCCGCAGGGATTTGTAAGGTAACGCTTAAGTCGGGCATGGCCCGCTATACAGGAGGAATATTCAGGAACAGTAAAAAGTAGTCTGGTGGCAAGGTTTCGTTATGTTTCGAACGTGCTTGATTATTCTACGTATTTTTTGAAGATCCCTTCCGCGATCCGCTTGTAGGAGGACATGCCCGACCTATCGCGACGTTGCAGGGGGTGGAGTGGAGGACATGTCCGACCTATCACGACGTTGACTGTGGGGGGCGCTCGTTAAGGAATATGCCCAGGAGGCGTCAGGCCTTGGAGGATTCTTTGTCTCATGAGGGCCGCGGGGAGATCCACTGCCAGGCCCCAACTTGTGTTCCACCGGTGGATTCCTTATCCAATGGTTCCTTATCCAATGCCCTCGCCGTAGGTGACCCAGTTACTGGAGGGTCGTTTTGCGTTTTTCATGGTCGTTGCAGGGTGCTTGCAGGGTGCTTGCATGGTCGCTCTGCAGGCCACTGCAGAGAGTGGGGCGAGACCCAGGGGAAAGGATGGGAAGAGAGGATGTGTGAATTTGGGGGCCGTGTTGGAGGAGCTGATCGGATTTCGAAAGTTGGCGTACGAATCCGTGTCGCTCGTCAGTTCAGCTCGCGTTGGTGATGTGATTCGCTTTCGCTGCATCGGGATCCCAATCTTGCATCTAGAAGAACTCGGAACCGTCTCGATAGTCAGGCAGGCATTTCTGCGAGTGCGACTTCAGCTAAGTAAGTGCGCCTGCGTCATCCGGACGCACCACAAATCGCGCGCAGGTGCAGGTGTGGCAGCCAAGACGCTGAAAGAAGGAACGCTTTGGGTTCCGAAATGAGCTCGCTGATCCTGCGGCCATTCCGTGGTTGCTCCTCTGGCCCTTCTCGTGCACCCAGGCTCTCTGTGGCGCCAGAAGAGTGGCTTCGTTCCTTATGTAGCCTTGCTTGTTTCAGCAGCTGGATCCTACAAGTCAGGAGCAGATCCCTTTCCCTATGATTGGCATCACTTGAAATCGATACCGCTCTTAAGGATACCTCAGTTTTCGAGGGCGCATCCCTAAGATATCAATCGTTTTTTCTGTCAGTATAAGGGCAAGTGATAAGTTCGAGGCTGGTTATGGTTGCAGGTATGAGCGAGGGGCGAAGAATGCGGCACTCCTGCTCTCCGCACACTGCGTCGCAACTGCTCGCTATGACTGCTACACTCCCTCTCTCACCCCGCGGACGTCCAGGTCGGCGCCCACACCCCTCCGCGAATGGTGCTTCTTCAAGAGGTTCAAAGATTGTCATGTTGTCTCAATCGGAATGTGTCCAGTGTCTCCGAATGGTGTTTCCGCTGCAGCGTTGGACTCGTTTTAGGACCGTTGCCTTGCTCCCGCCGCTCAGGATGGCGCTTTCGCCCCGGCGCGGCCACTGTTCCCCGGATCCGAGTCTTTCCTCATCGTTATCGCCTCACTCCTTTTCTTTTTTTCGCCTTCCCCTGGTCCTCCTGCGCGTTCCGCCCGTTCCACTCCAGTTCCCGCTGCTGCAGTTCGTCGTCCTCCTCCTCCTTCCTCATTTTCCCGTGTTCCTCCTGCTCGTCCGCCTGCTCATCCGCCACCTCCAGCGCACCTCCCTTGTCCGGATGCGCACAGCATGACGGTGTTTTGTTCAGAATTTCCGGTATGCTACGACATGCGTCGGAGGATATTAGATATATGTATTAAGTCGGCGCAATAGGAGTGGATTGGTGTGCGGGGTAGACTGTCAGATCTGGCGAGAGCGCACCTATCTTGACTATCTTCCCTCTGCTCTCTGCCTTCCGATCTCTTGTCGTCATGCTCTAACATCTGCTCGCCGCTCCCTGCTCTCTACTATTCCGACTTTGCTTTCTGCTCTAGATCTCCCCCCCTCCTGCAGCTGACCTGCGCCCATCCGCCCTCTGCTCGACGAGTCCCCTCCCGGCAGTTTGCACTGCCGCCTCTCCTCTCCGTGCCCCCCGCTACAGATTCGATGTGGTCTGCCCTCTGCGGTTCTTCTCTTCACAGTAATGTACTCCCCTTCCTCGTTCTCAACGCCTGGAGGCCGCGGGAGGATCGCCACGACCAAAACAGATCAGGAGCCCAGCCGCCTGCCGAGACTGGCGGCAACCCGCTCGTGACATGCTTGCCGTGCCTTCGGTGGCCCCAGGAATTCGGAGCACGGAGTCCAGAAGCCTGAAGTGTGGGACCCCGCCGCCTAGCAGTACAGTCGAGGAGTGATCATCGAAGAAGAAACAACGCCATATGCATAAACTTTTGGCGCTCCTTGGATCCGCGCTGGGCCCCCAGTGGCGGCGCCTCTGGCGCCGCCACTGGCGCGCTCCGCGCGCCAGGGAGGGGGGTCCAGCGCGGATCCGAGAAATCCGCGCGGACCTCCGAGTTGTTATTTTTATGCCACTCTTTGTTTTCTAGCACTGTCGCGGAGTGACCAGTAGGTCGACCCTGCCAACTCAAGAGTGCCCCTGTGTTCTGTCTTCCGCGACCCACGCCTTCTGTATTCTTGTGGCGACGTGGCCCTCGGAAGGGTCTTGTGCTCTCTCGCGTGTCCTCTCCGATCGACCCCGACTGCATCGGCGGGAGCGCTGTTGTTTCATCATTGGTAGTTTCGCGACAGTCCCGTCAGTGCACACACTGAGTTGGGAATAGTGTTCCAGCTGGGCACATGTTGCAAGTTCTGTATATGCGCGCGTGTTCGTGCCATGGATGCGTAAGTAATCACTGGGTGGTGCAATCCAACATCACCTAAGATTCTTGCTTTTTTGATCCAGGCGAGTTTACTTGCATGGCGTTCGCCCCCCCTCCCCCCTTCGCTCCTCTTCAATCGAACACAAGCGTGCAAATGCCTTTGGACGTGCGTGATGTCCGCTCGTCAAGTTGTGTTTGGCTTGTTTCATTCTCAGCCCCCCCGTCCATGCAAGTAAGCTTGCCCGAATCCAAAAAAAGCATGCTCCTATAACGGAGGAGGTCCCAGTATGACGCTGCGCATATCCCAACCAGCCCATCCAACGACGATGCCCTTGGGCGAATCGGTTCGATCAAGCAAGTGGGGGAGCATGCATTGGAACACAGAGTTCGAGAAGCTATCAAACCAAAACTTGAGATCGGCGTGAGCAGGCACATGAGTGAAACACATGTGCCGTCGCGGACCTGTCGAACGAGGAGTGGCGAGCGAGAAGGATGAGGAGGCGGGGGCAGGCGGAAGACGAGGAGGAGGAGGAAGAGGAGGCGCAGGGGGAAGGATGATGGATGAGTGGGGGGGCGCAGGACGAAGAGGAAAGCGAGCAGACGGAGCATGAGTTGGAATGTTCGTGTTGTCACATGGCTGTTGGTTAACCCGGGTTGGGAGGAAGAGGAGCAGGAGGATGAGGAAGAGGAGGAGGGGGAGGAGGAGGTGGAGGAAGGTGAAGCAGGAGGATGAGAAGGAGGATGGAACGGCGATGGTGACGATGACGACAACGACGGCAATTCTTAACGCTTCGCGTATCCCTATGCCTGGTGCATACGCCACTGCGGCCAATTTACATCGTACCGCGCCCCAGACGTTGTGCCCGCTCCCTGTCCCTCGCCTTGGAGCCGCGAACCAAAAAACAATCCCTATGCCCATGCGAGCTGACGGGAAAAGGGACGAAGAGACACATATAGGGAAACAAAGCGAGCAACCAGGGTGAACTGAGAGATCTTTGGGAGGTAAGGGGGTGGCCGTGGACGGCCTCTTCGGGCAATCCCTTGGGGCCGCGTGGGGGCGAGGGGAA